TAAATATAAATATAAATATAAATATAAATATAAATATAAATATAAATGAAGTGGTCATTAAAAATGATATATACATTCTTGATATACACATGAATGCTTAATCTTTTTTTAGAAAAGCAAATCTGAGAAAAATTAATTCTATTAATCTCCTTTATTTTCATATATCCAAAACATCTATCTTATTTCTAAGTATCGAATCAGTCAAAAAACAACACTGAAAATAAAATAGTATCCTTAAAAGAAATGTGGGTAAATTTGGTAACAACTAATGAGTTCTGGGTTTTCCTCCAACTGGGATCACTATCAGATTCTGTTTCCTGGATCAAACTCACAGGTAAAGAAGAGAAACAAAATTAATTCTAGGATATAAATTCTGATATGTGCTACACAGGAAGTAGTAAAACCATTCTGCAATTCTGGATTTACCCCCTTTATTATATCTTTCCAAATGCCAAACAATTTTGCTGAATTATTTTTTAAGTACCATCAGATCATTTCTAATGGACACTTCCTGACAGTTATGATATGTGTATTCTTCTTTACAGACATCCTTTTATTCTAGATAAAATTTTTAATAATTTTCATTTTTGGCTTTAATTCATTATGAAATATGGCTAAATTTTATCACAGGTATGGAGGTAACTTAGGTTTTTTTTTTTAATCCTTGTATTTTATTACAGGTTAACAGGAAGTTCTCCTGCTATGTAGGTGATTTTCAAATTTGCTGACTCTGTTTCATTAGAGCCATCATCAAGAAGACACTGAGTAATGTGTGGTCACCAAATTTTACAGAGAAAATAATTGCATAATATCTTGTTTTCTCCATTTTTCTGGGGAAAAAATGTATTCATCCAAAATGCTTTAACTCTTGGGGTGCACCTTAAATCTTGCCTTGTTTCCTTCATTAACGAAGTTTTTTTTTTTTTATTAACGAAGGTTTTTGTATTTCAATTTATTTTTCTGGTCTTTCTAAAGACAAAATGTGGCAGCATGAAGTCACAACAGATCTTGACTCCATATTGATCAAAACAGGTGACAGGACCATTTTATTTCACTTTCCAGAAAGAGGTTTAGACTCACCTGCACTGTTCGCTGGAGCTCTGCCTCAGAAGAGGGGAGCGAACACCATGAGCTCTCCCATCCTGCAAATTCAGCTTTCTCTTTGTGCTTGAAGGTGGGTGGCTGAACGTGTGCGCCCGTCTTCGAAACTGTGGGGAGTCAGAATCCTCTTCAGGGAACGTTTGCCAAGCTGAGGACAGTGGGGAGGCTGGTGGTGTCCCCGGTGGAGAGTCTCCTGGTGAATAGTCCTGAAAAGCAAGTTGAAGTGAGGTCTTTCTTTCCTGCATGGATCATGGCAGACCTGCTTCAACACACAGCTCCAAAGTGACAGGGTGCCTCTTCTTCCTCCAGAGTCATGACAAAACTTTTTTATTTTTTTTCCGCTCAATCCATGCTGAAGGCTAATCAGTATCACCACCACCCATTTCTTCTGATAAGCAGCTGTAACACAGCATCCGTAGTAAAGATAGGCAGAAAGTGAAAGGAATGATAAGAAAAGGTATTCTTTCCCCCTAACACTTTGTGGTAAAATGCTATGGTTACTGTACTTTTCTCATTGTTGCCAGAAAGATGAAAAAGCATCATGACCAAAAGAGGGTGGAGTCTGTGTTTACATATCTACTGATTTCCGTGACATATCAGCTGCATGCTTCCTGTACTGTCAAAACAATACCACAATGCTTGAGTGTCCAAGTTTCATGGCAAAGCCTTCAGGAAAATAAAATAAAGCCTGTTAAGCATCTTTCTTCACTGTGGATGTTTCTCTCCAATGACACGTTCCCTGAGGTAAAATTTTTTAAAAGACATGGAAAACAGGAAATGAATGGAAAGCGAGCTATGCCGGAATGCCTCTCATATTGCATGGGGAGACATCATAAATCTCTCAATTTAGACAGGTATGCTGTTTCTACTTTCCAAAACAGGCATCACTGTAGAAATGTTTAGCTTGATAAACATGGCTTAGGGCTAATAGACTCAGAGCCAGACTGAGTCCTCAATTCTGTCAACACAAAGTTCAGTAAAAATATTTTAATATTTTCCTTAAAAAAATAGGTTGCATAGACCTCAGGTTACATATTGCATGACCCAGGAAGCAAGAAATCAAACCTACTGAGAACTATCTATGAGATAAAGAGGAGCCTAATGTGACAGTTAAAATGGGGAGGGGGGAATGGGGGGAGTAACATGGCGACAGAACAAAACATAAAAAGATCACTGTATAAGTGCTGGAATTACACGGCTTATTTTCCTGTGGCTTTGGATCAACAGTTGCCCAAATACTGTCCTCCCAAGCATACTCTTTCCAAACAGTAAAAAGCCTGATGGAGCACCACTAGCTGGGAAGAGGGTGTGTTCTGTCCTAACACAAGAAAGGGGCGGCTGGCAGAGAACAACATGATACTATCCAGAACCTTCTTATTTAAGACAATAGCATTTTCAATTTATTTTAACATTAATTCAATCCCTTAAATTTAATTTTAATAATAATGAATAATTGTTAAAAGTCATAAAGGACTCAGAACAAAACGATGGAGTGATATTACCATATCAGTGTTGGTTTTTGCCAAGTGGCAATGAGTACTAAAAATGGGAACTGAGATGGGTTACCTTCTCCGAAGCAAGACTGTTGGATCGTTCAAAGCTGTCCATACTCCCAAGCCGACCTCTCATTCTGTTAGCTCCCTGAATGAAGAGAATAAAATTCACTTGTTGGTACGGTTTAAATTTTTACTTTAAAACTATAAAAGGCAGTCACCTCCTTAGGTTAGCCTTAAATGGATCCTTCTGCAGTATGCTCAAATTTGTCAGCAGTATTCACAGCCATGCCTGCACGGTAAACAAAATAACCTATTTACACTGCTTCTAAGTCAGTCATTAGATAACTAGATACTCAGACCAAGCTTTTTGAAGTTACTCTGGTTATAAGGTTAAACATTCTTCATCCATAAGATCAGGAGAACTGCGTTAAGATCAGAGAGTGCCCCATTCGCTTTATGTCTCGTACAGATAAACACAACCATGGAAGGCAGAACACACAAACCACAACAGTTATAAAGAAAATGATTTAATACATGCAACCTCCACACAACCTAGATGACAAACATCATAGTTCCCATTATAGGATTATGGGAAACAAACAGGTTTTTCAAAACTGTGTCATAAAATGTATAGACTCAGCTTCATTCATTCTTCCACAATGCAAACTACATCAAGAAAGTATTTCTCTCTAGAAGACTATACATCAGTCTGCTTCAATATTGGTTCTTGTTTTTCTTTTCATGGTTGTTTGGTATGAATTTCACGGATGATCTGAGAAAGAGGAACTGAAGCAATCATCTCATCTACTACATACTTTAGTGTTATTACAACTCCTATCTTGTACAATCTGTTTTTCATGTAGTCAACAAGTGCCTCAGCAATCATGATTTTATTACAAAAGTCACCCACAGAACTCGGTGTGGTCAAACATCACATAATCCATCAATTGCATTTTTTTTTTCTTTTTCTTTGAGCCACCCATTCTAGAAGTCAGTCTTTCTGCCCTACTCTAGACAGGGTGCAATTTAGACTTTCCAGTAATTTTCTTTACTATCAACCTAGACATCTCCTTTAATACTACCCTATGTCGAAATTTGTGTCTTTGATCCCATGTGTTCCTTTTTTTTTTTAGTTTATTTCCTCATTTTGGCGGAGTACACACTCCAGGTGCCTTCCAAGAGAGGGAGATTGGGGTATTTCCTCTTTGTGTAATTCCTACCATTTGGCTTTTGGATCTTCAGACTGACCTTTAAGTTTTTCCCTTTTCCTCCTATTTTCCATTTCTTTGTCATTTTGCTTACTTTTTGGAAGAGTTTTTCAACTCTCGTGCTCCAGACTTCTGTTGAATTTTTCTTTTTATGTCTACTACCAGAAAGTTTTAACAGTTCTTTCTTTATCACCCAACTGACTGTTGATTCAATTGCTCACTCCAGTGACTCTTGTTCTCTGTCCACTGACTGTTTTATATTGATGGTATCCCACACCTGGTTTTATAGAAGCAATCTTTATTTTTATCTATGTATATTAATTATAGTTTTATATTTCTGGTGGCACCATAAATAACCACTATATCAACCGTAAAATTAATAGCTGCATCAAATATTATTTGAGACTGAGTTCCTACAGTCTGCTATATACCATGTTAAGCATTTTATAATGCATTATTTCATTTAATCCTCACAAAAATTCTATGAGGTAGGTATAGTTACATAGTTCAACTTTACCATTAAGGAGACTAAAGTTCTGATAGATTATGTTGCCAAAGTTTACACAGCTAGTTAAAGGACAGGGCAGCAATTTGAACCCAGGACATTCAACTTAACAGTGAAACTCTTGAGCTGGTACCCACATCTCCTAGAAACAGAGCTTGTGAAGAGTGGAATTACTAATAAAACTAAGTAGCTGATGCTGGTAATTTTGCAAATGTTCTAGAATCTGATTCAAGGTTCCTTTAGCTATTATTTCAGTGTTATACAGACCAGGAGATACTTCCAGTAATAAACTATATTTGTGGCTGATAAATGATTCGGTTTATGTGTGTGGCCATGAGGAAAATATTGTAAAGACAAGGTTGCTTTTTCCCATTTTCTTAGCTGCTACTTTCACGCCAAACCTGCCTGTGTATCTTAAAACAGGTTATTTGGTCACAAGCAAGTAACTAGTCAGACGTATCAAATCATTGCCATTATTAGAAAAGCACTTAAATCACATATTTTACTCATAGTAGTGTTTTATCCATATGTTTGTGTGTGTGTAGGTGTGTATGTGCACAAAGCAAAACAAACTTACTTTTAAAATTATCCTCTATCACGGTCGTTAATTCACACGTTTCAACAAGGAAGGACAATGGATAGTAAGTACTCTAAGGGAAGGATGAAATGAGGGTTGTTTTCCTACGATGCATACTTTATATTGTAAATATTCTTCTTTTGAAAATATATATTAATATATTAGTAAAAATTTCCCTTCTGGAAAACACTGACTTCAGAAAAAGCAAGACAAACAACCAGAATACAAGGCTCTATCTTTTCACCTCTGAGCAGACAGCTTTTTCAGTTTAACTATATGATGATTTGGTAATACATGTGTCAAGCTTCTCCCTTGGACCCACTTTTTAATTGTTAATGAGCTGAGCTTCTACGCATTTTAATAAAATATATTCTATTCCATAAACAACTATAGTTAGTTAAATAAACTGTCTTGGCATTTAAAAATGGCAGCAATTATGAGCCAAACTCTAAGACTGGTGTGTCAATTTTCTACTATGTCACTTAGAAAGAGATAAACTAACCCATTTTAGACGTACATAAACCTCTTTTCTATGTAGCCTTTAACACAACACGGGGAGCTGCCAACCTTCCCCTTAAGTCCATTCTGTTGCACATGGTGCAAGCAAGATCTCATTAGGTCACATAATTTATGGCACTTGGCAGCACTGTGGGGTACAAGCTACAGTATCCGCCTTGACCAAAACAGACGGTCTGTGCCCTTGCTGAGAGTTAGCATGGCCTCTCAAGGCTATGCGAGCGAGCGGCACTTCAAAGTCAGCCTTGCAAGCGTTGTGCAGAATGCCAAGGGACTAAATGGGGATAAGAGAGTAACACTCTAAGTCCCCTTTGGTCGTTTTGTAAAGGACAGAGGTTCCAGAGCTTACCACTGTTTGTCCCATCTCAGCTACAGTGGGATATTTTCCTAGCAGACTGACATTTCATCCTCATAGTAACGGGAGGTAAGCACCTTATCAGCATGCACATTTCACAAACTGGAAAACTGGCTTAGGAAAGGTAAATAATTTGTCTGAGATCATAAATATAAAACCTACATTTAATATAAAATCGAGATCATAAATATAAAGCCAGGTGTTGAATTCAGGTCCCCTGACCACCTACTTAAATGGCCTTTCCACTTTGCACTAAAATTCTCACTAATTACTGTGGAAGAGAGGGGAGGGCGGGAGGAGAGGAGGGAAGGAAGGAGTGAGGAAGGAAGGAAAGAGAGAAAGAAGGAACACAAGTAATCTATAAATACTGAAGGAAAAAAAAAGGATAGGAAAATTTTATGAAATGTTGCATTCACACACTTCTGATTAACCTCCTAGAATTCTCTTTCCCTACATTCTGTCTTCTGCTGACAATAGTATTGATAGCTGACCATGTTTGCTATAAGGCTTTTGTTAGAATCAGAAGAATTTCAATCATTAAGAGGAATACCCATAAAAGTATTTAGAGTTTTAGCAAAGAAATAAAAACAATAACGCCCTATATCGGAAGGTACTATCCTAATGCTCTGCTGCACTTAGCTTTCTTGACCCTGACACTTTTGAAGACAACAGGCCACTTATCTTGTAGACTGTACCTCACTGTGGGTTTGTTGACGCTACCTCATGATTCGATTCAGGTATTGCCCCTTTGGCAAGAATAGCACAGAAGTTCTGTATTCTCTGTATCAAGTGGCACAAGATTTCAATTTGTCCCGTTGCTGAGGATGTTCCATCTGATCACTTGACTAAGGTGGTGTCTGCCGGCCTTCTCCCTCATAAAGTTACCACTCACTTCTTTGTAATTAATGAGTATCAATTAAATCCAGTAAATATCCTGAGCATGATCAAACTTCCAAGGTATTTTTCATTTTTCGTATCAGAGTAGGTTCATCATTTCCTCTTTTATACAGCAGGTTACAATCCTTTGCTATCATATATTTTGAGGTTTACATGTCAATGGTGGGAGCCCTTCGTGGTCTTTATGACATACCACCATCTTTCTTTGAGCACTCCCTTACTATCTACAACACCAACATGCTCAGGGCTTATCTTGTACTTTCCACCGCAGTCCCGGAATCAGACACTTTTCCCAGGATTCTGGTTCCTTCTTGCAGAATGATAAACAGAAACCAAAATCTGGGTGCTTAGTGTCACCTAACCAGGCTTAATTTATTCTTTGGCATTTGCAGAAAAGCTGTTTCCAGCTCCTATCATTGGACAGAGCCAGGGACCATATACACATTTAAACACACACACACACACACACACACACACACACACACACAAATACATTAATATATATTTAAAAATAAATAAAAATAAATTAACTACATTAAAAATAAATTCAAAAGTACATAGATAGATAACCAGGATTCTACATACCTCTGAGTTGAATCCAACAACACGGGATTTATTCTAATTTCTTCCCTCTTCATATTTGCAATTCCCTTTTCCCGAATCCTTAATACAGTTCCATATTTGACCAGTCCCCTGTGCGTAAGATTCTCCACAACTGTCACCTCACCAACGCTCTTCATCCTACTCGGGTTCCACACTTCGGGGCTGCCACCCACACACACAATGCCATCCTCACCCTGCTCCAGGACTCCTTGTAACAAGCACCTTGGAAGCCTTCTCCCCTCCACTACGCTGGCTCTAACACACTGCTCTGGGCCATCCCTCTGCAGGCCTGGCCTCCTCGCTGGCTCAAGCTCTAACTTCCTGAACCAGGTTGCCTTCCTAAGTTGACATCTTCCTCGCCACACTCTGGATCCACATGCCGCACTGGGCCACCCCCCACACAGCACCCCATTAGGCTCTGTCTCCCTGCTCTGAGCCACTGTGGGTCCCCCACCCTCCAGCTCTAAGACATCTACCTTGCTTGGGCTTATCTAAGAGCTATAGGACTGAATTATTCAGGAAGAAAAAAATGAAGGGAAGAGAAATCACTTTGATTTTAAAATAAAACACACAATAAAATAAATGGAATACATAAATTCTTATTAATTTATACTATTTTAGCATTTCCTGTCTGCTCTTAATAATAGCAAAATGAAGGCTACTTTATAACTTTATGTGGCAAATGATAATAAGTTCTTATAATATCAGACATCAATATTCTACTTCCCCTTTTTTATACATATTATCTCTACTACTAAATCTCTTGCTCAAACTTAGATATTGGAGGCACCAGAATAAATCATGAGATTACTTAAAATAAGTTAACTAAATTAAAGTTATCTTAGTAGTTTGTGTTTGTTTTTTTTTAAGGAAATTTTCCATGAGCCAGTTGAGAGTGAAGTAAAGCAGTTAGCAAACACAGACATTAATATCTAATTAAGAGAGTCTCAGTTTAATCTTACCCTTGAGAAGATATTTTCCAGGGAGCTAGTTAAAGATCTCTTAGCTTTATTTTTCAGAATGTCAAGTTTGAACCTTCCACTGCTTGTTGCATTTTCTGGGATTGTACTATTTGAAATAGTCTATAGGAAGAAAAACAGATAAATTTTAGTTTAGAAACACTCAAGGTTAAATGAGGCTTTAAATATGGGCTTGACTAAGCCATTAAAAAGCACAAGAATTCTTCTGTAGCTCTATTAAGGAGTAATAATTTAGGTTCCACACTGTGAGCATACAGATTATAAGGGCAGGGGTTTGCTTTTTAATATTATTAAGTAATAAAAAAAAACACAGATCTTTCCTTTATGCCTTTCCTTTATGCTAATATATTCCTGCTACATTTAACAAAAATTAAACATGAGACGTCAATTTTTACTGCTATTTTGATTAACAACTATAACCATCCCTCTCCAAGCTGCATATTTTATATCCAAATTACCAAGGAAAACATAGAAAATAAGTCTCAAAGAACAAAGCATCTTCTAGTAAAACTGAATTCTGCTAATGCCTCTGTGACAATCCCATTTTCATTTGTGAGTCATTTCTCTTTCAAATCAACAAGTACTCATTGATAGTACTGAGCTGTCTGAGAATCTACAATATTTTCACTATACGAGGGTCCCTCTATATTTTTTCTATTGCACTAACAACCTATTATGTATATTACACAGTTGGCAGTGCTAGAAAATTTCCAAGAGAGAAACTTTGTTCTTTGTTTGAAAAAGGAATATATTCACATTAAACAGTAACACAAAGCAACATGTATCAAATCTGGAAGCACGAAAATTGGTTGTGGGTCTCAGGAAAAAAAGATTGGTTGTGGGGGCACCTGGGTGGCTCAGTCATTGAGCGTCTGCCTTTGGCTCAGGTCATGATCCCAGGGGGTCCTGGGATCGAGTCCTGCATCGGGCTCCCTGCTTGGTGGGAGGCCTGCTTCTCCCTCTCCCACTCCCCCTGCTTGTGTTCCTGCCCTTGCTCTCTCTCTCTCTCTCTCTCTCTGTGTGTGTCAAATAAATAAATAAAATCTTAAAAAAAAAAAAAGATTGGTTGTGGGTCTCAGTGGTCAGGAATAAAAAAAAAAAAATAGCCAAGATTCTACAGGCAGAAAAAAATGGGTATGGAGAAGTTCTCAGCATGGGGGATGATGTTAGCAAAATCATAAAGACCAGTGCTAATGGGACAGGGGTCAGTGCAGGTGTTTGGCTAAAACAAAGGAAAGTAGTTGAAGGTTAACTTGGAAAAGTGAGGCTGGAGATGAAACTTTGAATAGGAAGAATTACTGATCAGAATTTACAAGCAGAGGGGCATCACTGTAAAAGTAATATTTGGGGGAAGATTTATCTGAAAGGAGTATTCAAAAATCACCTGAAGGACAGAAAATCAGAGACTGAAAGACCAGACTAGAGAATTCAGCACAGTCTATAGAGAAGGCAATAAAAGGCCCACATTAGAATTGGCTAACAGATCTAAGTTACTGATAAAAAGAAATACGACCCCCAGCAAGAAAGGAAAGAAAACAATGAATATGGATGTAGGTTGGAGTGGGCTCAGGTGTGGATAAAGGACTGGGAGGACTTCTTCTCAGGCTTTCCAGGCAAAGAACATGACTAAAATAGGGAAGTTGTATTGGTATTTAGCACAGTGCTTGACATAGTAGCTGCTCAGTAAATACCAGATGAATAAATGAAAGGAAGAAAGGAAGGGCCGAGGGAGGGAACGAGAGTGAGGCTGAACTTAACTACTAGCAGGAAACAAACAGTGTGCTAAAGTCTCCTCTTCTGTGATCTTTAGTGCCCTCCATCACCAAGAAGATGCACATCCCTGCTCACACACTGCTTTGGGCCTCTAGTCAACATCACTATCACCACCAGTGACTGAAATCAGCAAAGCCGTTCACAGATGTTAGTCTTTATGTTTTTTGACCTTCCTGTATCACTGGACATGGCTGATGTTCTAACTTGAACTTTTCCCCTACCTTGGTCACCTACCGTAGCAAATCTCTTCCAGTCTCTTTCTACCCTATCATCTTCTTTCAGTCTTTTCCCTGGCACCATTTTAATTCACTCATTGCCTGAAATGCAGGGGTTCTTCAGTACCTCTGCTTTGACTTCAAATCTAGGCCAAAACTCATTGTCTTCCATATTTATTCACAATATCAACTCAAATTCCTCTGTAGGCACCAAGTCTATTTTTCTAATTAAATCTTAAAAACCAACCTACCTTCCTTCCTTCCTTCCTTTCTTTCTTTCTTTCTTTCTTTCTTTCTTTCTTTCTTTCTTTCTTTCTTTTTCTTTCTTTCTTCCTTCCTTCCTTCCTTCCTTCCTTCCTTCCTTCCTTCCTTCCTTCCTTCCTTCCTTC